GTACAGTGCAATGAGGTAAATTCTCTGAAAAAAAAACACTTTTTACTAACATACGGATAGCAGCTCCTACTACACGCTGGATGCTTGTCGGTAGGGATCTAACTTTTAAGCTTAATAACGGTTTAGTTTTTAAGTGATGTACAGAGATTTCACTGTATATTTAAACCTGATCAGTAGCACAACCACTGTATGAATGTCGCGGCTACAGTGACTACATCTCCGCCATGGTTTTATGACCATGACCTTTTCGCTATCCACTTGCACTGCATATATCTCATGCCACTGTCATAATTCCACTACTTCTACGCTTTTACGTACGTTAGCGCGAGGAACTTTAGGGCCCTTATATAGCCATGCACCATGTCATTGTTCAAATCTCTAGTCTACTGAAATGGCGCTTTTTGGCCATTTCTCCACAAAAAAACCACATCATTATCAATATCATCGTCATAATCGTCGTCGTCATCGTCATGTTGACCTGATACCGTAAGGTGAGTTATGAAAGGTGGCACTCCAGTAACAACATTTGTGTCGAAAGATATGACACATACGAAACACTATTATAAAAAGTTCCCTAAAAAGTGAGGCCAAGGTAGCCCTTCTCTTCCGCAACTCCCACTTCTGACGAAATTCTGAGCTGGCGTTTAAGGCTAGAAAGTTCAAATGTGTGACAGAATATGTGCGGGTAAATGTTGGTCAGAGTAAGGCTAATACTAATACTAAATGATATTAGACGCCCGCACCGATCGAAAAAAAATTGGGCAGCTCACTCAGACCTACAAGTAGCTCTTTTCTCGTGGGCGACCATCTTGAATGTGTCGAGGAATACGCTGCGGAATACGCACCAGGTTCGAAGCAAGGACTCGCAATTCTCGAACCAGGTTCTTGCAACTTTGCAGGTTTCATGTTGAAAAAGACTTTACATAGCTTGTTTCTGGTGTTCTATTCGTTAAAGGTAGTGACAGGATCGTGTGTTTAAAGTAAGATGGACTAGGGATGAATATCCACAAAAAACCGGCAGCTCTCTATTCTGATGCATCACGGCACGGGCCGAGAACATGGTGGTCTTCATTACACAGCTATAGAGTAGCGTTAGCAGGATACCGAGTGTTGGGGGAATAGCGTTAACGCGCTGTAAACGTTGCTTGCAGATACTCAATTTTAATTTAACAGGATAGAACTGAAATGCCGAAACTTGGACAGGGGTGCCAAATATAGGAGGGTGACTAAATCAAAAATCGTCGAAATTACAAAGAACTTAGAAAACTCACTTGTATGTCTGCTCACGGCACAATGCTACAAATTTAGCAACAAAAAGTTAAATTATACTACACACACCAAAAGCGAAAATTTTTATTCTGCACTTTTGTTCAACTCGAATTTGTAGTTAGGTTGAGGTATGGCCGATATCAGAAGCTATCGCCACACCTGTGCTAAGTTATCTGAAATACTCAGTCACGGAAGCTATCTTAAGGGAAGCGAAGTCGTTTTACGAACTAGCTTGCTGCGAAAGAACTGAATCTGACCACTTGACCGTTAAATTGATTTTGAAGAGGGCGATGAAAATACCTGCCATGTTTCACGTCCATGAGCGAACCATGCAAGCATGGTTCAAATAAACGAGGAAAATAACCGGCGTACGGTAAATGCTACGGGTAATTTAACGTACACCGCGGACCGCTGAGGCTGCTATGCTATAAGAATCATGACACTTGTCGTTTTCGCGGTGGCTGTCTGATCGGGTAAGGTTCCATAATACGGAAAAACGCCTTGCCACAACTAGCTATGTTGTTGCTGTGGGAGGGCTCCTGTTTTCGTCTTCAGGCTGTCAGTCTCGCCACTGGCTTTTCCAGAACTCAAGAAACATGAAAGTGCCGGCACCTTCAGCAGATTTACTGTGGTTGTGACGGTGAAGAAGGCTGCACCAAGAAGGCTTGGAAATACGGAACTTTTTAATACGGTGAACTTAAGACCAAAATATGAACATTCAAATTAGAAGAGACATAGACTGTGGACGAGTAGATGAGTAATCTGATCAGCGCTCGGGTACGTTCACATTTATGCATCCGACAATAAAGAATACAGGCACAGGTGAGATACAAGGCGGCGGTATGAAAGACTAGAAAAATAAAATGCGCGGTATTACTGCTTTCCTAAATTATATTCAAGGTAATGCCACTCTGAACGTGTGATCAATGTTTACAGCTACGATACTCACGTTCTGCAGTTCCGAAACGTTCCGTAGCACAAATGCCACTCATATCTCCACATAGGGGCAAAGATGCCACTAGCAGCTGTTCCTGTCTCTATATCAAACTTGCGAGCAAGCTTCATATCAGTAAGAGTAATAAATGGCATTGCTGATATAACACTAAAAGCAAGCACCCCTGTCTTTTTCGTGGTATCCTCTTTCACGTGCCCGTTAGCACGCTTCGCTTAAACTCTTCGTGATAAGAGGTTGACATCGTGTCCTATAAAAATGCTTAGCGGAGCCATCGTCGATAGGCAGTACAGTTTGGTCTGCTTTTGAAATTGCATGGAGTCACAGCACCGGGATGTGACTGTCAGGCAGCATTTCGAAGAGAGGAACACGCCCCGCACAAGTTCGATAGTCAGCAAGGCGTTTCGGTACAAAGCCAGCTCTACCAATTTGAGACAGAGTGATGATCTTAGCAATTAAATGCCACCTATACCGATAGAAGAACATAAAACGCACGTGAACGAAGGAACCTGGCTTCCAAACAGCATGGCCACATATGCGAGTGAAAATACGCCACATCAATACCTCACGCGTTGCTGCAGAGACGACTGAACTCGTTTGTCGTAGCACCATTTAGGTGGGCACTTAGTAAGTAGCAAGAAATCTGACAACACACGGAAACTTTTCTGGACGCACAGGGATCGTGCTTTTCAACGCAGTACAGGTAAAGAGCCCGCTCCTGCCTATTTATATTACAGGTAAAGCTCCTTGGGGTGTGGTAGTAGCAACTTCGCAAGTTTTACGAATTGCTTCCTAAATGGCGTTGTGTGTATATATCGTTGTGTGCAACGTGGAATAGGTAGGCTTGCCTTAGGAGCTCACGGAAATACACCAAATCAGGAAGTACAAGGTGATATGGGACAAGGTGATATGGGATCATTTGAGGGCGGGGAAGCTAGCAGCAAGACAAACTCTGAGAAGCGATTGAGAGAAATGGGAGAGGAGCAATTGGCTAGGAAGATATTCAGCTACTTGTACATGAAGAATGTCGATACAAAATCAAGAAATCGAACCAGAAAATTAACTGGTAAGTACTTAGATAACAGCAGGGGGCCAAACCAAAAAGAATTATCAGTTAAAAAGAAGGTGAAGGAAGCTGATACCGATATGTGGAGAATCAACATGATTAAGAAGTCAGCACTAGAGATCTATCGAACTTTTAAGCAGAAAATTGCCAAGGAGAAAATCTATGATAATACCCAGGGTAGTTCCCTACTGTTTGAGGACAGGACGGGAGTATTGCGAACCAAGAAATATCGGGCCAAAGACGAAAGGGCAGACACGGTATGCAGTGCGTGTGGAGAGGCAGAGTAAACTGCCGAATATTTGATCATGTTCTGTAAAAGGCTTCACCTCATAGTTCAGGATGATGGCGCAGAGCTTTTCGAAGCACTAGGGTTCAGGGACAGGGAAGGCAAAATAGACTTTAAGCGGGTAGAATTAACTAGAAGGAGGTTATCTGATTGGTGGCTAAAGTCAAGGCACGAATGAAAATTAAAGCCTTCACTGCAAAGTACGAGTCCTAAATTCACTATTTAAAGAATAAAAGAAAAAAATCTAGTTTGTGGTTCAGTAAGTATTACGGCTTAGTGGCGTTAGCCACCACCCTATGTAAAAATACAGCCATATCAATCCATCCAATCTATCCAACCATCCCAACCATGGTGGTCTAGTGGCTAAAGTACTCGTTCTGCTCACCCACAGGACACGAGATTGAATCCCGGCTGCGGCTGCTGCATTTCTGATGGGGGTAGAAATGTTGTAGACCCGTGTGCTCAGCTTCGTGCACGTCGAAAAACCCTAGGTGGTCGGAATTTCCGAAGTCCTCCACAACGGTGTCCCTCATAATCATTTCGTGGTTTTCGGACGTCAAAACCCGCATATCAATCCATCAAGTCAATGTGTGTCTATGTCCTTGAAAATAATATGACTGGACGGTGTTAGTAGTTTTTGTGTAGTTGACATCCAATAGTCCAAATCGCGCTGTTATAAAACAATCACAGCATATTCACGGAATGAATGATTATGAGTGGGGCGAAGTATCCTTTGAGTTATCCGTCTGTTCGTCACGCAGACGGACCGACAGACAGACAGACAGGTTGATGGAGAGATATAAACAGCACTGAGACAGAAAGAGAGATGAACACACGGACATGCGGGTGGACGCTTCATCCCACTCGTCATCAATGCCAGGGATATGCTGTGACTTTTTTCTTTTTTTACACCGTTTAGAGGATACGCGTTGTGTTTCCGTCTAGTTCTGCCACAATAATAACAGTTTAACATGCTTGTGGAGTTGTGCCCTCATCTTTAGTTCTGTATCCAACAAGACGAAGCTCTTCTAGCTGTCACACAGGCTACCCTCATTACGCGGTCAGTATTAGCTACTGCAGATACGCAGGAGCTTTTCAATGATTGATGATCACCGTCAATTTTCGGGGCGCCGATGCGCCACCAATTGTCAACTTGGGTGCATTCACATTACACTTTGCTGTAGCTGCCAAACACCAAGAGACATTGGGCAAGCCCACTCATAAAAATGCAGAGTAACCATTCGTCTGCTTCTGTAAGAAAATTTTTTTCTGTCATGGTATATAGAATCCCATAACAGGTTGATAAACATTACCTTTACCACGAACGCCGTGTAATATGCTGCGATGGCCATAGTGATTTGTGGATGAACACATTACAAACATGTCTTACCTATTGTCGAAAGTGCTAAACAAATTACATTCTTTAGGAAGGAATAATCAATGACAATCTACGAATTAAACCTCTGCCAGAAGGTCAACGTTCAACGGATGGTCAGATGCTACACACGATATTCGAAGTACCAACAATCAAAGAAAACTTCACCGAAACTAGTGAGCTATACATTTATTATTTGTTTGTTTGTTTGTTCGTACGTTCTAGTGGTGCAGGATTGTTTGTGCAGCTAATATGACTCTGTTACTTCAGTTAGTGAGTATTAGAGTTATTTATTTATTTATTGAAAGCAGCATTACCTAATACACAATGTCCTCTCACTTGTTTTCTTCAGCATAATGGTACTAAAAAGAGAGGAGAAAGCGGAATAAACACTGGTGATCGTTTCAAACTGGTCAGCTTTTTATTGCTGAGCAGAGAATAGCTGTCATGTGTGAGGCGTCACACCGCGTGCTCAGCCTCGTTTTGATCAGTGGATCTTCGTATATCAGTGGGTATCCTCCACCATGTCTTAATGTAGCACTCTGTCCACCCTTGGTTAGAAAGTTCTCGGGACGCAACGCCACAAAAAATAGCGTGGCTGCCTGCATCAGACGTCCACCGGAGTAAATTCCGACGGAGATGAGATATATAATATGTCCCTCTCCATTGTCACGCATCTGTCAGATCCGTTCCTTTGTGCTCAATATTTGTGGCCCGAAGCTCGGCCGCTGACGCCTCAGAGCAATCGTGTGACGCTTCTCAAAGACAGCGCATTAAGCAGCGTCACTGTGACGCGTACCCATTGGGCGCCAGCATAGTGTCATGCACGGAGACGCACTGTCTCAACACAGCATGTCCAAGAGCAAGTTTTGCCATTAACATTGCCAACATAAGATATGAAAGATTGAGCCCCACAGAACTTCACGCAACTCTGCAAAGATTGCTTCATCGGATTTTTGTCGTGAGAAAATTTATAAAGGTGCCTCCTCTCTCATGAAACTAAAACACATGCGAAGGCTAGCCATGTGCAAGAGTAGGAGAGGACTAGAATAGAGAGGTGAATGGGTGGATAACGCAGCATCCGGCTGGCATGGTAGGAAAAGAAAGATGAAGGAACCTTAAGGTTAGCGTTTAAGGGTTCAACGCGATAGTGATATCCTGGTCTAAGTGCATTTTAAACCCTTTTGCGCATTACTGTTTATTGTATGATGTTATTCGATGAGCATATGTTCTGAGTTTCTACAATGTAATCAATAAAGTGGAATTTGGCTTGTGTTAGTTAAGCTTTCGCATATGGCCTAATTACACCACAAGCAGTCATTACGATGCCAACTACCCCGGTTCTGATTCTCCCTTAAACCCGGAGATTTTTCCTATTTATTTGATTTGCATCGTTCCAAATTTTTCCGCCACGTACGAGAGGATTTTTCACTCAAAAGCAATGACGCCGATGCCTAAATTTCTGCGATACGAGCTCCTCAACGCTGTCACGTTAATAATGGAGGAGGAGCTGGTGTACCTGCTTTTCGCGTTACTCACGTGCTCCTGAAACATATGGCACGCATCAGACGGACACATGCATTACTCTGTTAAAACTTGGTGAGCGCAACTATGATTACTGTGTGCCGAAGTGTGTGTCAAATGCTGCCTTTCAAGAATACGAGTGAACTGTTCAAACGCCTTGTCCCATGAATTTTCATATTCAATTTTCATATACTAAGATAAACGTGGTATAAAAATACGTTTTTTTTGCAGCTCATATTCAAAGGGTGCCTGAGACTATACGTAACAGCAACAAGAACTCGTCGTACGCCCACAATAGTAGTGTCATGTGATATACAATGTGCCATAAAAACTTGTTATTTTCACATGATGAGCAATGTTTAACGTCGTTATTAAGAGTGCAATTTTCACAATCTAGTGTAAACAATAACCGCATCGTTCTGAAAGTTGAAAGATGTTTTAGAAGAAATGTGCTTATATACATCCTTTACAAAGAAATAAGGCGGGTACTGAAATCGACGTTATGGGAGAGTGAAAAATGTGCATTTTCTTAGTTTTATTCTATAGAATTTGCCTTCAACCAAGTTCTTGTATGTTTCTATTGCAAATGAAATTTTTAAATAATGATTGACTTACTGTTAAGGTTTTTGAGCGCAGCCTATTTGCACTCAACTGACGCTATTACTGCTTTGAATATATCTAGCCAAAACCTAACCAACATTCAGAGAAAACTGCGAAGAAGACGGCAAATCTGTTGAGCTACCAACTCTTAATTAAACGAAACTAGTCGCAGATGACCTTTACAATTACGCTGTCACATGGCCATGTCACAATCGCCCTCCTATCAACTAAAAACAAATAAAAACATAACAAACACGTACACCTTGCATGCATCTGCTATATTTCATACACAACCCGAATATATCTATTCTTATTACTTGTTAATATTCTAAAAAATATTCTTGAGCGCTTGCGCCTTTCTGCGTAAGCCGAGAGGGCTGTCACTACAACAATCTCTTCACCTAGCTGTTCTAGGCTATGTGAGAAGCATCATGTAATTGATGCGCATATCTCTGGCGATTTGTATCCGAAATCTTCGTGTGATCTAGCACGGGATCAGACTTGCCTTTCTTACATTGAATGGTCAAACATGATAAACTTGTCTTGCCTAAACATTTAAAGAGCTCCCAATCTCTGTCTTTTACAAAACTACATATCAGACCTGACCAAACCCCCACACTCGAGAGTGTTATTACGCAATTCTGTCACTGTGCATTTTTTAACAACGTGATATTTCTTTTCGTTCATACGTGCGCGTATACGGTTCAGCTTCCTTGGGGTAGAACACTCAAAAAGGCAATACAAAATTGCAAGCCACCTTTTTCAGGCCACGTAAAGCTGGGTGCGTATAGAGAAGTACGCGTGTTCTTCTTTCCCCAGAACAAGCGTTAGTGCATTTTTCATTCCCTTCATTTTACCTACGCATACATCTGCTACCACAAAAAAAATGAGTATGGAAAATGCACGTTTCGCAGTCTGGCACAGTGGATTCTAAAGACAGGCTCAAATACGTGGTCACAGGACGTATTGAGTGCAAATTTGACCCAAACAGAACCAACCGATAGCTCTTTTAATTCTTTTTTATTTGTTCATTCTTACTGTATAAACTTTTTTTAGAGTATAGCTGAGTGCACCATCGAAAAATAATGACCTTCACTACACTTGAAATCTACATATAAAGACCAGAGACCACCGAATATTCTTCTCTCGCTGTTTGTGTGAACAATGTTTTGCCTATTCAGACAGCCTGGAATAATAAAATTTCCCTTTAAGATATGAAAAACAATAGTGATAATAAATTATAAAAAAATAATATGAATACAGTAATAATACCATTATATAGAGATTTGTGTCCCAGAACGACGATATGATTATGAGAGCCAACGTTGTCATTGAGGGCTCCGGAAATTTTGACTTTCTCCTCTTTTTTACCGTGCCCAGACATCAAAGAGTTCATGGGCTTCTGCCCTTTCGCCTCCACCGAAATAAGACCACCGCAGCCATGATTGAACACGCAAACGTCGGCTCACTTTTTCTTTTATTGACGGAATATTACTTACAATGTACTTACGGTGACTGGTCGTCGCACGAGCTATATATACATATATCTGTTTAGGAAAGCACTTTCTCCGCCTGGAAAGAAGCAAGCGGAATGACATCAAAGGCCATCGAGAAGACTTGAGCTGTAAGTGACCTTTAAAGTGCCAATGTTCGGTGATATGAAATATTCTTCCTCGAAGCAAGCGAATGTTCTAAGATACCTGAGTTTATTGTCAGTTGAACAACAAGCATTACATAAGTAATTTACTATCGAAATAACAAGCCTTCCTGATATCGCGCGAAATAAATTGTTTACAGCTCAATGTTTATCAGAAAAATCTCATGCAGCTTGGTGTAGGCGGCCCTCATATTGTTATAGAACATGCGCCTCATTACAAAACTCTAGTGACTTGTGCCACTTTGCTGTTCAGCGCAAGCATCCTTTTTTCTTCTAAAGACTCATAACTAAGACAATTCTAAATAATCTAACAAACGTGTGCATAACAGCCGTGTCATAGCCTCGATGGAGATCACATCTTTTTTGCAATGTTCAGTCAGGCGAGTCCATCACTAGCTACTTTTATAACGCGTGGCATCTACCTATATTGTGGACTGTTGCATATTCCAAATAGAACATTTAGAGATTGACAGGCACTCGTCATTATGTGGTAATAACCAGCATTGCTTACTAGTGTATGCAGTCGGGCATAACTAATCGCACCACAAAATATCACACGGCACAAGAGAAGGACCTAAAATGAGCGCGAGTTAGCGCTCAATTTGATCGCTTCTCTTTATTTGTGACAACCTTTTTGCAACGTGATCAGCATAGTGCCCCTAATTGTCAAGGGTAACACATCGGTTTCGTGTGAGTATAGGTACGTGAAAATATTCATTAGTGGAACAATGGTGCAAGAAAGAGATGGGAATAGGTGATTTTAAATACAGTCTATCTCAAATACAGCAAGTAATTTATTCACTAAAGATCGATTGGCCGATTTTCGTACCCGATAAAAGGCAAAAATAAAGGAAAAGTATAATGTTATTATTTACAGTTCTGCAAGCACGGGCTTCAAGAGTTGACAAGTTTCCCGTGGAGCTTCACATTGTTTCCGACAAAGAACACCAGCGGTCGTACAGGAAGAATGAAGAATTAATCTCATATCTTGCAGTCATGATGAATGCGGTAAGATTACACCGAAAATGATTTGTTGACAAACTTGAATAACCGTGAAGTACAACTGCATCTTCCTTCCCAGCATTGGGGATGTGCTTTAATGATGCAGACACAGGAGAGACGGGACACACACCCTGCAACAGACAGTAAAGTAAAGCATGCCTTCAGAGCTGTGTCTGTCCCATTGATTCTTTGAGTGCGTCTTCAAAGCGCATCGTCATCTTTTCCATACAAAATGAACACGCCAACTAAGTCCGCTGAAATCCTTCTCTTATCATATATGCCTGTTACCGAGTTCATAATTGTCCGCCATAAATTGGTACTATGTCCCAAGAACTCAATGACAGGCCACGTGTCTTCGCTTCTTCTACGTCCTAAATTACATCTGCCCCCCATTTTTAGGCAATCCAGCTATAGAAATGATACAGACGCTTACATTCCTAATGCCGTTGCCAATGAAGGAAAACCAAATTAGTTTTCAGCGGTGTTCCGAGCAATCTTCAAACTTCTCGAAAAACACGGAACTCAGCATCAATCAGGAGCCAAACATTTCCCATTTAACTCCCCGAGGCCTATCCTGATTCCACTATACGAGAAGACAGAGCTTATACTTCTACGGTGCAGAAACACATTACTTGTGGATAAACAAAGCAAGTGGTTTGCACCAATGGTAATTGTCCTTAGGCCTTCCGGAGAAGCAAGAATTGCCATCGAGTTCACAGAGCTCAACCATCTAGCTCTCAAAAAAGGGCATCAATTTTTTTTCCTTAGAGCAGACTGTCTGACAGCTTCTTGGTTAAAAGGCGTTCTCCAAACCTAATATTACAATATCCATGTGTTGGCACTGTGTACTTTTTGAACAATCAAAGAAATTGACCACCTATATCTCAAAATTTCGGCTATTCTACGGCAACTGACTAACGATTAGCATTATATCAGCTCCGGAGTACTTCTAGAAGCCGATGACGTATATTTTTCTAGTCATCAGTAGTGTCGTCTGTCACGTGGATGACATCCTCATCGCGGATTACAATAGTATGAGCTCAATGAGACAATTCTAAACGTGCGTTTTAATGTGCCAGGACAAGCATTTACCATGCACTAAACAGACTGCATGGTCGCCCTCCCATGGATCAAATAGTTTAGGCTTATTGGCCATGCCGATCCTCAGCCTAAAAGGCTTTCAAAGTGCTATTACGTTTTTGGAGGCAAATGATCTGAGTGAGAAACTTTAAACAGTGTCTTATTTTACTTTTCCTTATTTTTTCTTCTATTGATATCCATTCTTTCTCTCTTCTGTACCACGCACGTTTTCACACTTTACCCCCTTCCGCAACAAAGTATATCCAGCCGGTCAAAGAACTCGCTAACCTCCCTATCCCTTCGCTTATTTTTTGCTTTCTCTTTTTAAACGTTTAGTGTTTTAGAATCCTTGGGCCCTGGCTATATAAAGATGAAAGACGAGCCGATACAAAGAAGGTTAATTCATACACAACACGGACCCCTGCATAAACGGCACCGAGGTGCAAAAACTTATCTGAGTGGCTACATATCTCGCGTGGTTCTTTCTAGTCTTTTTGACATGTTGCACTCGCTCTCCTGTTGTCTAAGAAGCAAGCGCTTGCTCAGGGTTGCACAAGAGAAAGCGCTCAACTGGTGGAGGAGAGGGAATATATTAAGAAAAGAAGACAAAAAGTCGCAGCTTTGCCGCAAACACAAAACAATGAACCTGAAAGTAAGAAATTGAAAGATGACGCGCAAAATGACAAGCAAATCAAAACATGCCCTGTGTTTCTCACGCACAAACGACACACGACACATACTCCCAGGCACAGAAAACGCGAATAGGCGTCTCAGTTGTAATTCGCAGTGTCTGAAAAGCGCGCCCTTTTCACACATGGAGAATGCGAAGCCAATGCAGTGACCTTTATGCGCTCAGTTACGACAGCATAATTGTTCAGACGAAACTGAAAGGCCAGCCAAGACGTACGATTCTCCCCACTCCAAGATAAGGGTGGGTGATCGAGCGTACACAATTTTAATCTCTACGTGGGCCAAAGCGGGCATGAGAGATGAGAGCCACCACGCACTCACTGAGCCATCTCACCCACGCCCTCACTGAGCCACGCACTCACTGACCCCCCCCCCCTCTTTCTCTCGAGAGGCCCACCAACAGCGGTAAGTGGTAGATATGAATAGCTTGCCGTTTGAACGTTGAAGGGAACCCTCTCGGTGGATCAGTGGTTACCACCTCGCACTCATCAGGTGGAGGTTCCATGCCCGATTCCGCGTACAGGAGTCTTTTTTCTTCGATTTGTTTTTCGTTCTTGCATTTTCATGTATATTTAGATACGTATACATATGCGGTGATGACATCAATGCCGACGCCCACGCCCACACCGGCAGCGCAATCCAGCCGAGAGTGTCCATATAAATGATATCGCAATAAAATTGTCGCCCGTAACTGTCTCTCCTGAAGAAGACTTTTTAACAAGCTGGCACAGAGATGGGGATAACGAAGTAAACGATATAGGAAAGAAAGAAAAAGTTAAAGACAGAAATAGGTGCAAATGAGTCATATTCGCTCCACTTCCCTGAGCGCACGCCCGAACCTACGCAACATGCAATCGTCTGGAAAAGCCACCGAGAAGGCGGGAGAACATGTTCGCCGAAAAAGGGTAAAGGGCCAAACTGACGCATTTAATAAAGGAGGGGCGCGAAGCACTCGTCGGAGCGTGTAGCTCAGGCACCAAAACATCAGAGTTAAGAGCACTCACGAAAGAGCATGCTAATGCACCTGGTGCGTGCACTACTGACTGACTACACCGCTAGTGTGAAGGCGCCACGCGCGGCACAAACCGCCGCACTTAACCCATGAAACCCATGAATCGAAGAGTCAGTTAGCAGGAACACAAACACTCACGTAAAGCTGCAGCGAGCGCACCCATAGCCCTATCCTTCCGTTCTGCGCTGGCAGTCGGCGCACTTGCTGCAAGAGCAGGCACAGTGGTCGCCGAACTCGTTGAAGCTGCCGTGCTCGTGTGGAGGTGGGTGGCAGTTGCCTAAATAGTTCGGCTTTCTCCTGCGAGAGCGCAGTGAAATGAGTGCTCCTTGCCAACTGCTGCATCGTCCCGCTTGTCGGTGTTTTTGACAGTGGGTCTGGCGTGTGCCAGGGCTCGGCGGCGCGTCAAGGGGCCGCTAGACGAGGCAACGATGACAGCAGCCTGGCGCTAAACCTGTCAGGACGAGCAGCGTGATTTTCGGCTGCATGGTGGTTTTTAAAATTGAGGGGGAATGTCGTTTCGTGATTCACAGGTTCTCGGGATGGCTGCGGTCACAACAGTACGGAGGTAGCGCTCGTCGCATGAGCACGTCGCGCTGGCTTGGCTGTATCAACCATAGCGGGCGCACTGAAAGGAATGTGACAGACGAGGTCAGACCGGCTTCTTGAGCTTGTAAATTGACACCATCAGTGAGACGATGGCGCCCTCGAAAGTAAGAGTGATGCACCGGCCTTGGCGGACGCAGGACACGATGGACACGGCTGACTCGAGGCTGGTCAAGATGTCGCCAGCCTGAGTGTCCGGGTCGACACCATTGATGGGGCGCACGCATGTTTTGGTGACGAGATGTTTTTACTTCACATAAATATCACACATCCATCGTACTTGTAAAAGTGCTGAGGGGTCTGTCGAGGGACCAATGTTGATTGATATGTGAGGTGTAACGTCCCAAAATCACCATATGATTATGAGAGACGCCGTAGTGGAGGGCTCCGGAGATTTCGATCAACTGGAGTTCTTTAACCTGCACCCAAATCTGTGCACACGGGCCTACAACATTTCCTCCTCCATCGGAAATGCAGCCACTGCAGCCGGGATTCAAACCTGCGACCTGCGGGTCAGCAGCCGAGTACCTTAGCCACTAGACCACCACGGCGGGGGAGGGACCGATGTCAACGGCGACGATGCTGCGACGGAAAATTACAGGACGTTCCCAGTGGCCAGAGTTTAGGTGGTTACAGCCGCGATGACATCCCGCTACGCAGTGCAAAAGTTGGATGTCTTCTCTACAGGTGAAACCAGAATGATGCTCCGAGTTTACCCACTGTTGTTAAAAAAAACCGAGGACTGCGTATTGGACACCGTGTCGGTGGCCGAGATGGTGGGGAATGAAGGTGCTCCGGTTTCCGCCCATCTCGTGTCTGAGCTGTCAGAAGACGACAAGGGTGGCGTATGATGTTACAAGGAGGAACTGTAATTGGGCGAAGCTTCAGCCTGTATATCGGGAAGCAGTGCACGGTGTACTATCCCTCCCTCGCACGCCTACCGGCGAGGTTTGCCGGTTAGTGCTGGCCAGTGGCTCTTGTATAGCTTCTCGACACAACCTTCTCTCCTTGAAGGCCTTAGGATTGGGCGTCTTTGGCTTTCGGATGCTGGACAAAGCATTTTCTGCATCAACTGTAGGAGCGTGGTGTCCTGCTTGACCAAGTATTGAAAGATCGAGCGTTCCATAGCAGGCCTTTTCATAAAAAGGGCTGCGCGCTTTGAGGCGCGAGACTAGTAGGGAAAAAAGATAACAGAAGCGAAAACTACGACCATCCTGCTTTTAATCTCAAGTCGCTCTAGCCAACTGGTGGATGTTGATGCTCGGTGCCATCTTTTTATCCTGTCGTTGGAGTTTACGATTCATAAAAAGAAACAGTCGTAACCACCGATAAATCGTTGTTCCGACTGTCAACATTACCATAGCACAAGCAAAGAAACAGCAATTTTCCAGTAATGGCTGATGCCTCTAGGTTATTCCCTGAAACAGACTACATCACGCTCAGATTGAAAAGGGGGCTCTTGCTCTAGTTTGAGCATGCTATAAATTCATCGATTACTTTGGTTTCAATCCGTTCAAGATAAATATTGGTCACAAACCAATAGTTCCCACCTTCGCTTTGAAGAGCCTTGAGAAGTAGAGGCCCAGATTATGGAACCTAAAGTTGACATTGATGTGATATA